TTATTAGTTTATTAACCCTGGCTGCCTGGAACTCACTTTGTAGATCCAACGGGCCTTGAATGTAAAGAGGTCTTCCTGCATCTGCCTGCTGAGTGCTGAGATTAGAGACAGAGCTGCCATGCCCAGCCTTCCTTTCTTTTCTTTTCTTTTTTTTGTTTGTTTTGTTTTGAGACTGGGTTTCTCTGTATAGTTTTGGTGACTGTCCTGGCTCTCGCTCTGTAGCCCAGGCTGGCCTCGAACTCACAGAGATCCGCCTGGCTCTGCCTCCCGAGTGCTGGGATTAAAGGCGTGCAGCACTGCCGCCCGGCTTGGCCTTTCTTTTTAAAAACTTGATTTTTTTTTAATTATTAAGGGTGGAGCTGTGGGCCCTGTGTGCGTGTGTGTGTGTGTGTGTGTGTGTGTGTGTGTGTGTGTGTGTGCGTGATGGCATGCATGTCGAGGTGAGATCAACCTTGTGGAGTCAGTTCTCCGCTTCCACCCTTGCCTGGGTGGGGTTGAACTTGCAGCCACCACGTTACTCACCAGCCACCTCAATGCCCCCGCCCTGTTTGTCTAGAGATTTCTTTATTTTATGTGTATGGGTGTTTGCCTGCACATATGGTCCGGGCACCACCTGCATGCAGTACGCGAGGAGGGCCCAGAGAAGGTGTAGAATCCACTGGCACTGGAGTTACAGGGTTATGGCTAAAGAAGCTCCATTTTATGCTAGGCAGCCACCTAGTACCGGCCCATGCCTTGGTACCCACCAGCCATTTGTCTCTGACTCCAGTCCCTGGAAGATAAGTTCCCAGTAACCCTGACTCAGTGACCCCTCCCACCCAAAAATGTCCATCCCTGCCTAGTTGTTATGATATGACTAACTGCTTTTTTTTTTTTTTTGCTTGCATAGATACCCAAAGATTGTTTTGAGTTGTCTTAACTACTTAACCTGGTAGAATAAAACAGTTTCTACTTGCTTACATAGATAGTGAAGGTTTTCATGTGATTTTTCCCCTTTAAAAGTCCTTCCCCATAGAAACCTGGTGCCAGGAAAACCCCCAGGAATTCACAAAGACAACCCCAGCTAAGATTCCAAGCAATAGTGGCCAGTGCCTGAACTGTCCATTTACTGTAATCAGATTGGCGACTACCCCAGTTGTCATCGGAGATACTCTATCCAGTAACTGATGGAAGCAGATGCAGAGATCCACAGCTCAAGCACTGGGAATCCTCCTGAAGAAAGGAAGGAGGGATTGTATGATGGGAGCCACGATGGGGGAACCTGCAAAAACAGCTGACCCGAGCTTGGGGGAGCTCATGGACTCTGGACCAACAGCTAGGGAGCCTGCATGGGACCGACCTAGACCCTCTGCATGTGTGTGACAGTTGGGTAGCTTGGTCTCTTTGTTGTGAGGCTCCTAGCAGTGATCTCAGGACCTCTCCCTTGCACTTAGCTGGTTTGGGGGAACCTGTTCCCCATGCTGGATTACCTCACCCAGCCTTGAGGCAAGGGGAGGAAAGAGAGAGCATATTTTCAACAATCATAACTCTTTGGGGAAGCTCCATCTCTAGCACAAACCTTTGGCAATGATGACAGTTCCTGGTGTTTTCCCTCATCCCGAGTATTGGTAAGGTAGAAGATAAAGGGTAAAGCAGAAGCAGGTTATTAATTTCCTGTCAGACCGGACAGGTTGTTTTAAAAATAACCATCGACTTCTTTTAACCCTTATTGACATTAGGGAGAAAGAACCGTCCCCAAGCTCATTAAGCCAATGTGTCAGCACCTAAATGATGAGTCATGTCAGGTACCTTGTCTCGGAAATAAAAACTTTGCCCTGCACTCAGGAGGCAGAGGCAAGTGGATCTTTGAGTTTGAGGCTAGCTTGGTCTACATGGTGAGGTCCAGACCAGGGCTACTTAGTGAGACCTTGTCTCAAATATAGTAGCAGGCAGGAGAAATGTTCAGCAGTTAAGAAGAGTTCCAAGGGATCTGATGCCCTTTTCTGGCCTCCTCAGGCACCAGGCACACATGTGGTGCACAGACGTACATGCAGGCAAACACCCACACATAAAAATAAATAAATCTTTAAAAATATTAAAGAGAGCCTCCAGGCAGTGGTGGTGCATGCCTTTAGTCCCAGCACTCAGGAGGCGGGAGCAGAAGGATCTCTGTGAGTTCGAGGCCAGCCAGTGAGTTCCAGGACAGGCTCCAAAGCTACAGAGAGAAACCCTGTCTGGAAAAAACAAAAAACAAAAACAAAAACAATAATAACAAAAAATAAAGAAAAACTTTGACATAAAGGGAAAAGAGGGATGGATTGGGAATGGGGCGGCAAGAGTGGGAGAGAGTTGAGAGTGAATATTATCAAGACTCATCGTTTACATGTCAACAAATTAATAAAAGACACTCGGCCAGAAAAAAAAATCAAAATCATTCAATTCGCAGGACAATGGATGGAACTGAAAAATAGTATATTAAGTGAAGTAACTTGGGCTAAGAAAGACATCACATGTTCTCTTTTATATGGGAATCTTAGCTTCTATTTTTTTTTTTTTTTCGAGACAGGGTTTCTCTGTGTAGCCTTGGAACCTTTCCTGGAACTCACTCTGTAGACCAGGCTAGCCTCGAACTCACAGAGATCCGCCTGCCTCTGCCTCCCAAATGCTGGGATTAAAGGCTTGTGCCACCACTGCCTGGTACCTAATTTTTATATATGCATATGAAATTTGAGTAAGAAACCAGGGGTCCCAGAAGGAGGAAAACCAGGACTTTTTAACGAGCAGTGGCAGGGTAACAGAACACATGAAATGAGAAAGTGGAAAGGGAAGCCGGGTGTGGTGACGCACTCCTTTAATCCCAGCACTGGGGAGGCAGAAGCAGGTGGATCTCTTGCAAGATTTTGAGGCCAGCCTAGACTATGCAGTGAGCTCCAGGACAGCCAGAGCTACATAGAGAGACCCTGTCTCAAGAAAGAAAGGAAGGAATGTAGCAGGAATCTTAAAAGTTCTTAATAATAAAATCAAACCCGGGGCCAGTTATTGGGGTGAAATGCTGGATGATCAGAGAGACAGAACAAGCCACAGCTAACCTCACCTGGCCAACTTCTCAGCTGGTCCTGTTTCCTCAGACTGGAAGCCTCTGTGTCCTCATATCTGAATGACACTCAGCTGAACTGTTCTGCTAGAAGCCTGAAAGCTTAGCCAGCCAAATGCCGCTAGTTTCTGGTCCTCACACCTTATATACCTTTCTGCTTTCTACCATCACTCCCTGGGATTAAAGGCCTGTGTCACCATTGCCTGGCCGTTTCCAATGTGGCCTTGAACTCACAGAGATCCAGAGGGATTTCTACCTCTGGAGTGCTAGGGTTAAAGGTGTGAGTGCCACCATTTTCTAGCCTTTGTATCTAGTGGCTGTTCTGTCTCTGACCCCAGATAAGTTTATTAGGGTGCACAATATTTTGGGGAACATAATACCACCACAAAGGAAGAAAGAAAAAAAGAAGAGAGAAAAATAGAAAGAAAGGAAGGAAGGTGTTGGGGTCCACAGTGGTTTTCTAATGAGAACTGAGCTTGCTTTACACAGCAGGGCTATATAAAGATTATATAGGATTATAGGGCTATATAAGACTATATAAGGATTGACCACATGCATGGTTACCAGGTGATTGGAACTTCTGCACTTGGCTGTGCTGGGGGGAGGTCTTTTGCTCCACTCCTTGGCATTCCTTTAAAAGCCCCTTAGAAGAGTGGATAAGGATCCAGGACCTCCCGAGGCTATCCTATATTTTTCCCTGTCTCCCTCCTCTATATTTCTGTCTAAATCTTATCCCTCAGTCCTTAAGAGTACCCTGGAGGGAGAAAAAGTGGGAGCCCATCTCCCACAGGAAGGAAAGGAGGGAGGGGCAGAGAGAGAGAGAGGGGGGGGGAATAGTGAGAGAGAGAGAGGAAAGGGGGGCAGAAGGGTTTAGGCGGGGATAGAACCTGGGAGAATATTGTATTTTTTCCTTCTGGCTCAGCGAATAAGAGCATTTACTGCACTTGCAGAGGACCAGGTTTGATTCCCAACAAGAGAAGGAAAGAATGGGGAGAGCCAAGCAAAACCAAGTAAGTTCAAAATGCTGTAAGGAAATCTTTCTCTGTTTCTCTGTCTCTCTGTCTCTCTGTATTTTTAAAAATAAAATAAGGTGGTAGCGTTGACCCACACCATTTATTTATTAATCTATCTATCTATCTATCTATCTATCTATCTATCTATCTATCTATCTATCTATCATCTTTTTCTGAGTCAGGGTTTCTCTGTAGCCCTGGTTGTCCTGGAACTCACGCTGTAGACCAGGCTGGCCTCCTGAGTGCTGAGATTAAAGACGTGCTTTATTTATTTATTTTTTTGATTTTTTCGAGACAGGGTTTCTCTGTGTAGCTTTGCGCCTTTCCTGGAACTCACTCTGTAGCCCAGACTGGCCTCGAACTCACAGAGATCCTCCTGGCTCTGCCTCCCGAGTGCTGGGATTAAAGGCGTGCGCCACCACCACTCAGCGTGCTTTATTTTTCTATTAAAGTGCATTTTTTTTTTTTAATGGAACGCTTCACGAATTTGCGTGTCATCCTTGCGCAGGGGCCATGCTAATCTCTGTACCGTTCCAATTTTAGTATATGTGCTGCCGAAGCCAGCACTAAAGCGCACCTTTATTTGACACGCAGGTACCATGCATCTATAAGCATGAAAAGCCACCGGGGATCAGTGTCATAGGGTGCCCTGAAGCCACCACATGCAAACACTCCCTGATGGTCCGCCCTCTGGCTTTGCAGGCTTCAAAGCCGCATGGTCTTCGCTTTTCCCTGCTGCCTGCTCTCTTACGACCCCTCCAGCGACGCGTATTTAAATTTTTACAGGTTTCAGGATAAGAACGAATTAAAATTCTTCGTTCCAAGAGGTTACTGCCGTGGCGACCCTTACAAGAATGTCTTTCCTGGCTCCATTTGGTTGCAAAGACCCAGAAATAAGAATGGCGTTTAAAAAGTGGAGATGCCGGGGATCGAACCCGGAGCCTCATACATGCAAAGCATGCGCTCTACCACTGAGCTACATCCCCCGCCCGATTGCTCGTCCTCTCGAGAAGTCCCTGCAATACTCTATGAATCACTGTTTGGGTTTTTTTCCCCCCTCTAAATTAAATTTGTGTGTATTTATTTAAAAGGGTTTTGAGGGCTTAGCAAAATGTCTTATATTTCGCAAACAAATGTGTTCATTATTGCGTTGACATAAGCTAAAGTGTTTACCCGATTCAGAGAATAAACAGAAAGTAAAAAAAACAAAAACAAAGCAAAACAAAAAAACCAATAAATAAGGACTTGGCCCCAATATTCCTCACCCAGAATTGCTTGAAGCCCTTCCTCTCTCTCTCCCTCCACCTGCCCCCGCTCCTGGAAGAATATTCTGGATGTGAAAATGGCCTTACAGTTTCAGACCCCACAATTAGGGCTCAGATTTGGAGCAAGGACTCAAAACTCTGCAACATCTCTGGGAACAGTGTCGTGGATGGGGGTCGGGCTGTTCTTTGCCTGGGAGCCGCGAGGAGAGGCCACAAGCCTCCAGGGCTACTACACCCGGGCATTGCCTATCTCTTCCGGCGTGGACGCTGTACCCTCAGAGGATCTGCCTGACCCTGATACCCATCCACGCACTCACAGCAGCTGGTGCCTGACGTCGCCTGCCAGAACGCTGGGCACAGCAGCGGGCATTGCCTGACCTCTCTGAGCCTCCTTCCTGTGAGACACGGAGACGCCGACAGACAGACCCAACCCTGCCGCTCTCTAGGACAGACAACAAGGACAGAGCCTGCACAGGCTCGAGCAGTGAGGAGTGGCGGTCGTCGCTGGTGTGGACTGCAGCAAAGGGCTGCTGCATCCTACACCGTCATCCTCCTGCCGCATGTGTGGAGTCCCACATCATCTTGCCCCTGGGTCTCGGGGCGGGGGCCGGGGCGGGGGGAGGTTTGGAGGCTGCGTTGCTCACAGGAAATAGAGGGGTCCATGGGCAACCTCCTCCTCCGGGTCTGAGGTCCTGGGAGAGAGCCGGGCAAACAAAAGAAAGACCGACTTTGAACCCGGCTGAAGGAGCAAGCCGAGGTCGCTCCCCGTCCTCCCCGCGGCGGTTTGCACTCGCTGTTCCCCTCAGCGTGGAATGGCCTTCCCAGGTCTCGTGATCGGCTCCTTTTTACGGACCACCCCAACCCCTCTAAAGGGGCCCACAAGGGAACAGGCGAACGGAAGGGTGGCGGCAGTTCGGGAGGATGCACGGTTCTCGGGGGACAAGAACACGTCCCCAGTTCACAGACATCATCATCAGCAAGGCTGTGGGCAGCGGCTGGAGTCAGAAGGAGGCGCAGCCTGGGTCGCAGCGTGAGCCGGGTCTGTCTGGGCCTCCGTCTTGTGACTGCGGGGACCAGGGACACGGGGGACAGCCGCGGGAGAGAACAGGGTCTTTCTGGCGACCTGCCACCCTGAGCTGAGCTCAGGTCCAAGAGGGTGGAGCCCAGCCGTGAGGGTCGGGCTTATTTTTCTGCGACAGGGTGAAGTATGTCCATGGGAGTTAAAAAAATTTAAATCGGTTGGAAGACGAACAAAAAAAACCACAAAGGAATTGATAATAAAAAGGAGCGCTCGCCAATCTCCCCGTCGGGGAATCGAACCCCGGTCTCCCGCGTGACAGGCGGGGATACTCACCACTATACTAACGAGGAAGACAGCTGTTTACTAGCTTGGCCAGAGGGTCCTTTAAGACTCTTTGAATTCCGTGACAAAAAAACACAGAAAAATAAATCTGATTTGATTGAATCTTGTCCTTGAAATGCCCATCCCGCACTTTATGTTTATATTCTTTTATAAAGTTTTATATTTTGCCGCCTGGATTCAGACCGCAAGCACTAATAAATGAGCACCAAGCGTTCACCGGCAGACATCGACAAACATCTCAGGGACGAATACGCGCTTCAGCGGAAGGCGCTTTCGGAACCACTTCGATTCACCCCCAAGGAGGAGCGGCGGGGAAGTTTCCAGAGAATCCGGCTTCAGTGCACGATGTTCGGGGCTTTTGTGGAAAAAAAACAAAAAACGAAAGCGTTTCATATACTGGAGAGGAATGCAGAAGAAAAAAGGAGAGCTGCCGAAACCCGGGATCGAACCAGGGACCTTTAGATCTTCAGTCTAACGCTCTCCCAACTGAGCTATTTCGGCAGTTGTTGCCAGTGTGTTCCTTTTCTCCTCTCCTTGTCGTTTCTAAAACTTTGACTCCTCGGCTTTTCCAAGCTGGGAAGCCCGGAAATGGACGTTTTCCAGTCTCATCCCTGGGTCACTCGCGCGCCATGGTCCCCGCGCATCCTCTAAGGCCACTATCTACGAGGGTCCTTCAGGGACCCCCCCAGGACTTTATGGTCTACAGTGAATTTATTTATCGTTTTCCCTGTGTATTAGCTGGAAGGACACACCTACGCTGACCTCAGCCACCGAGGAAGACCCCAGAACAGGCGACGCTTAGTAGGTGCTTAACTCAGTGTTTGTTGAGCGCGTAACAAACGCACGGATAAGCCCTTCCCGGCTTGGAGTTCTGCGACTCCTGCTCCCCACTCCCCTCTTGGAGAAGGAGCAGGGTCACTTCTGGATGCAGGCCGCTAGCTGCCAGGCACCCAGGGGTAACTGATGCTCCCTGGGCAGGGCCACACCTGACTCAGATCCGGCCTCCGAGCGTGGTCCCCATGCTCGTGCACACTTGCTCAGCCTCGAAGCACGGGGAAACGGAACAGGTGAGGATGGGGATGGGTGGGCCCTGCCTGCTCCCTTCCCTGCGGTGAGCAGGAAGTGGAAGGCTTGTCTTGGGGACCAAGGGGAGGAAGTGAGGCCCCAGAGGCGGGCAATGAAGGCCAGGAGAAGGGAACAGATGTTGGGCAGAGCTGGAAGCCCCCTGAGAAGGTCTTCCCCGGCTACTGCGAGCATGGGCCGGTGATCGACCGAGGCAGCCACATCCGGGAGGGGTGAGGGCTGGTGGGGTGGTCCAACCCGGAGCTGTGGTGTCTGGGCCACGCCTGCAGAAGCGGGCCTAGAAAGAAAGGGACATTGAGGGGGCTCAGGAGGAGGAAAGGGACCTTGTTGATGGCCTGGATCTGGGATTGGGGGTGGGGGCAGGAAGGGGTGAAGAGGATGCCCAAGAGTGAGTTGGTTTGATGGTGGAAAGTAGGAAGTCTTCGGGAGTGGGTCGTATGAGAAGGAGCAGTTGGGAGAGGAGAGAGACAGAGACAGAGGAACAGAGACAGAGAGACACAGAGAGCCAGGGAGACCGAGAGAGACAGACGAGAGAGAGACAGAGACACAGAGAGAGACAGTGGGACAGAGACAGAGAGACAGGCAGACGAGAGAAAAACACACACAGAGAGACAGAGGGACAGAGACAGAGAGAGACACACGCAGAGACAGAGTGAGAGACAGAGGGACAGAGAGAGAGAGAGAGAGAGAGAGAGAGAGAGAGAGAGAGAGAGAGAGAGAGAGAGACTGCCTTGGGCTTGCAGCCTCTAGTTCCGGAGGATTTACCTTTCTGTTGTTTAACGCTCCCAGCCTTTGGGGTTTTGTCATGGCTTGGCAGCTCTGGAGGTCACGCAGCCAGGCTACAGTGTACCTATCCATCCGCACGCTGGGTTTTCCTGCACAGGGCTGAGACCGGGTTCAGTTGTCGCGTATGGGGATGATGGAGAAGAAACAGGAGGTCTTGCTCCCTTCGGGAATCCTATTCCCGCCCCGCCCCCACCTCACTGGCGGGCAAACACTCTGCACCCAGACCTTTAGTTTGAGACAGTCTTACCAAGTTGCCCAGGATAGCCTTCACCTCGCTTATTAGTGCAGGCTGGCTCGGTTCCCAGCACCCACAAGGTGGCCCGCAATCATCAACTCCAGTTTCAGGGGATCTGACCCTTCGACGGACATCTCCGAACAGCAGGCATGTCCGCAGTGTGCATACATACACGCAGGCAAAACACAAAATAAAATAAATGTAAAACAAAAATCAGTTTGGGTACATAAAGTCTTGTCTCTAAATAAATAAATAAATAAATAAATAATAAAAAACAAAGAAATGGGAGTGGAGGAGATGAAGTTTTGTAAGCTAAGCCCTGGGAAGGCTGAGGCAGGAGAATTGCTCCTGGAGTTGAAGGCGTGGTTACAGGCCAAAGAGGAATTAAAAAACCAAACCCTGCTGAGCAGTGGGCACCTGCTTTACGCTTCTCAGCGCGTGCTTTTACAGCGCTTGGCTTTTACAAATAAAGCAGTAAAAATAAATAAAACAGATCTTCACGACAAAAACGGAGTAAGGTGGGGAAGAAAAGGGAGGAAACGGAGGATGGGGTCTCTTTGCAGAGGCAGCCCTGTCGGCAGGCTTGGGAGTTGGCGTTAACCAGACGCCCAGTGGCCGGACCTCCTCCTTAGCCATGCTCACATGCGCCACCCCAAGTGAACTCGGGGGGAGGAGGGAAGTCCCTGTAAAATTCAGGGCAGTAGAGGGTAAGGTTGGGCACAAGATGGCATAAGGATCCGGTTGATGATGGTAGTTCCCCGAGACCCTATTGCTCAGATCCATCATGCAGGAGTTCCCTAAGACCCTGTTGCTCAGACCCATGGTGCAGGAATCTCAGGATTTCTAAAAACGCAAAATCCTTTGTCTGGTCTCCCCGTCGGGGAATCGAACCCCGGTCTCCCGCGTGACAGGCGGGGATACTCACCACTATACTAACGAGGACGAACCATACCAGGGTCTCTCCAGACAAGTGGCTATAGACAAGTAACGCACAGTGGCAGGTACCGGGTTTCTTCTCCCATCCATATTCCTTCTCTCCTGCTCTATCCCTCCCCTGGTTCTTTCCCTCTCTCTTTTCCTCCCTTCTGAGACCTCAGTTCGTGACGCCAACGTCACCAGCCGAGATGGAAGACTTTACAGCGGCAATGCTTGATTGCTATCACCATTCCGGAAAGCCCGCCCCACAACTAGGGGATGTAGCTCAGTGGTAGAGCGCATGCTTTGCATGTATGAGGCCCCGGGTTCAATCCCCGG